ATAGACTTCTTATAAGAAATAGCCGTAGAAAATAAATTATGCTATTTTGTGGATTTCTCCCCAGCACATACTGCAGACATGGTTAAGTGAAAAGAGTGAAGCAGTTCAGAGCTGTTAGAAGCTCTTGAGCATAATTATTATCTTTGATTTGATATCATAGCATCCTCAGTCACTGACATGCTGGATTCAAACACAACTTCATATCTGCATATTCCTGTCTCTCCACCCATGGGGAGTCCATTTGTTCCAATGATGTCTGTGCTATTGTTTGATGTTTCTTAGTCCAATTTTTCACAATGTGTTAGATGTTTTTGGAATGCTTTACCTAGGCATTTATTTTTAAGTTTTAGGCTGTTACAAAAAAAAAAAAAAAAAAAAAAAAAAAACAAAACAAAGGAGTTGGATTATATGGTTTTCCTAACACAATTTTTTTCAGCTATATCATCTATTTTACACTGAAGTTTCTCATAGAGAAAAATTTGTTTCCATTTCTACAGTGAGTTACTTGAGGCGTTAAATTTGAAATAAGACAATGGCAATTAAACTAATGATATATATTGGTTGTCAACTTGGGCATTCTCATCTTTTTTCCTTCCTTTCTTTCTTTCTTCTTTCATTATGGTTTATTTACTTTGTATCTCAAATGTAGCCCCCTCCCTAAGCCCCTCCCAACCCAAAAATCCCTCCATCTTTTCCTCCCATGCCCCTCCCCAAGTCCACTGATAAGGGAGGTCCTCCTCCCATTCCCTCTGATGCTAGCCTATCAGGTCTCATCAGGACTGGCTGCATTGTCTTCCTCTGTGGTCTGGTAATGCTGCTCTACCCCTCACAGGGAGGTGATCAAAGAGCCAGGGACTGAGTTCATGTCAGAGACAGTCCCTGTTCCCATTACTAGGACACCCACTTCGACACTGAGCTGCCATGGGCTACATCTGTATACTGTCCTTACTATGTTTAGGTATGTGCCTTGTATCCTTGATCTCACCAAGGCTTTAAACATGAATGGTCATTAGATTTTGTCAAATGCCTTTTCAGCATCTAAGAAGATGATTATGTGGTTTTTCTCCTTCAGTTTGTTTATGTGGTGGATCACATTGATGGATTTCTGTATATTGAACCACCCCTGCATACCTGGGATGAAGCCTACTTGGTCATAGTGGATGATATCTTGTATGTGTCCTTGGATTCTGTTTCCAAGTATTTTTTTGAGTATATTTACATCAATGATCTTAAAAGAGATAAGTCTGAAATTCTCTTTTTTTGTTGGGCCTTTTTGTGGTTTAGGCATCAAGGTGACTGTGGCTTCATAGAATGAGTTTGGTAATGTTTCTTCTGTTTCCATTTTGTGGAATAGTTTGAAGAGAATTGGAATTAGCTCTTCTTTGAAGGTCAGGTAGAATTCTGTGCTGAATCCATCTGGCCCTGGGCTTTATTTCAATGAATGGAGAGTTTTGATGACTGCTTCTATTTCCTTGGGGGATATAAGACTACTTAATCTGTTTACCTGATCTTGATTTAATTTTGGTAAATGGAATCTATCAAGAAAATTCTCCATGTCATTTAGATTTTCAAATTTTGTGCCATATGGGCTTTTGTAGTAACACCTAATTATTGTTTGGATTTCCTCAGTTTCTGTTGCTATGTCCCCTTTTTCATTTCTGATTTTGCTGATTTGGATAGTTTCTCTCTGCCTTTTAGTTAGTTTGGCTAAGGGATTGTCTATCTTGTTGATTTTCTCAAAAAAGCAGCCGATGGTATCACTGATTCTTTGTATTGTTTTCTTTGTTTCTAGTTTATTGATTTCAGCCCTGAGTTTGATTATTTCCAGCTCTCTCCTCCTCTTGGGTGTGTCTATGTCTACTTTTTCTTTTCTTTTCTTTTTTTTTTTTTCCTCTGGGGCTTTTATGTGTGCCATTAAGTTGCTTGTATGAGATGTCTCAAACTTCTTTCAGGAGGCACTTAGGAACTTTCCAGTCAGCACTTCTTTCATTGTGTCCCATAAGTTTGAGTAAATTGTGCCTTCATTTTCATTTAATTTTAGGATGTCTCTAAATATTTTTTCATTTTTTTTCCCTGACCAAGTTTTCCTTGAGTAGAGAGTTGTTTACTTTCTTTGTGTATGTAGGATTTTAGTTACTTTTATTGTTGTTGAGGTCTAGTATTAAGCCATGGCAGTGTAATAGAATTCAAGGTATTATTTCGATCTTCATTTATTTGTTGAGGCTTGCTTTGTGCCAAACTATATAGTCAACTTTTGAGAAGGTCCATGAGGTGCTGAAAAGAAAGTATACTCTTTTGAGTTTGGGTTAAAAGTTCTGTAGACATCTATTAGATCCATTTGATTCAAGATCTCTGTGAGTGTCATTATTTCCCTATTTAGCTTCTGTCTATATGATCTGTCTCTTGGTGAGAGTGGAGTGTTGAAGTCTCCCACTATTAAGGTGTTGGGATGATGTGTGATTTGTGGCTCTGCAAACACTCACTTGAAGGTGCACTCACTTACTTGCAGGCATAATCAGAAAGCACAGGGGTTCCCTTTATTCTCTACTCTCAGGTTTGGGCCTGTAGCGGCAAATGAGAGTATAGGAGATCAGCCAGCTCAGTGGTGTCCACTGTTTGGCTGCCAGGCATGGAGACTTGTATTTGGGGAGTCGCCTCTGCTGTTTCAGTCACTTAGCATGGAGGCTCCTGCTTGGGCTAACAGCAGACCTGGGAGGCCAGTACAGCTGCCAGCCATAGCTGCAGACGTGGGAGGCCTGCCTCTGCTGTCTCAGTCAAGGAGTTCTGAGGCTCCCGCTTGGGGCAAGACTACAGCCTCCTAGGAGCAGAGAGGGCTGTGCTTCGGGAAAGGGGAAGTGCAGGGGGAGTTGAATTTGCCACTCTCAGTCCCAACAGATGTCCAAGAGTGGCCTGGATCCAAATTGGCCTAGTTCACGGGTTTTCCCCTCTTGCCCAGGAAGCCTCAATGTTGATGTTCTGGGTTCAGATGCCCCTCCACTCACCAATTTTGGAGTTTTGGATCCTGTGCCCCTCAGATATGGTGTGCGCTAGTCACTGCCATCTTGGACTCCCCTGGGCTTTCTAATCTTACATTTCAGTGTACACATCATGAACATTTTCTGGTGTTATTTATCTGCTATTAATTTTAGATTTTCAGAACGGAGAAGAGAAAATGAACTGGAGAAAATTCTAAACAACCTCTGTCAAGAGTACCACACTTTGAAAAATCAAATCTCTGTAAATTAAAATTTGTTACAAAATAAGTCAACAGAGTGTGATGCCCTCAAAGATTACCTGGAGTTTCTCAACAGAGAAACCAAGATTGTTTTAGATTGCTTAAAGCCACAGATATGGAGGATATTGTGAAAACAGAACTGCATTATTCAATATTGTTTCTTTCCCAGAAGCTTTGAAGACCGATTAGCAGCTTATGATGCTGGTAATCTCAGGGTTAATGGTTTGGGGATTTTCTTATTTTATGTAGGAGTCCATAACTCAGTAGCTGTTCTGACTCACTGTTCCCAGGATATGGAATCACAAGTCGGAACAACTGAAAAGTCAGGTCCTTGTGTTTTATGGGAAAAAATGAGTTTCCGCCTTTGTTACTGACAGAACATGGAAGTTTTTAGTCAGAGTGTATTTACCAAATATTTAGGCTAAAATGGTCTCAGGGCATTAACATGAATCCAGTCACAAAAGTAAGTGCACACATGGGTGTATTCCTCTCTCTCTCTCTCTCTCTCTCTCTCTGTGTGTGTGTGTGTGTGTGTGTGTGTGTGTGTGTGTGTGTGTGTGTGTGT